CCCCTCACCAATCTACACACTGTCACCCCCAACACCACCCCTCACCAATCTACACACTGTCACCCCCAACACCACCCCTCACCAATCTACACACTGTCACCCCCAACAAACCCCACCTCACCAATTTACACACTGTCACCTCTAACACCCCCCTCGCCAATCTACACACTGTCACCACTAACATTTTCCTCACCAATCCACACACTGTTACCCCCAATCCCCCTACCTCACCAATCTACAGGCTGCCAACCACACCCCCACCGTTGTAGATGCCTGCATCTACACTTGCTGGTCCACCAGCTCACAATCCCCAATCGCATCGCACCCCACCCCAGTTTACAGTCACTGGTATCTCCCAGGCAACAGGGTGCCCCTCTGCCCCTGTCCAAAAGCTGCCATCCAACCCCCAGCCCCTTCCCCCAGTCCACTGGCTATTATCGCCCATCCCTCCTAGTCCACAGGTTCTACATGCTGCATCTCAGCAATAGCTGAACAGTCGGCTGAATTGTATTCAGGCAGTCTAAATCCTAAAGCACCATTCAAATGACTACCTTCAATCATTTCATTATCTCTAGCTCCAGTACAAGATCGGAAGCTGTTAATCAGTAAAATGGAAACACTGGCATTGATTATTTGAGATTATTCTTTACTCTGTATGTATTTTTAAGGCTGTGACAAGAGCAATGAGCTGGTTATAATGCCTTATTACTCCATGTTTTGATCCAATATATAAGCATTTAAATGCAATCACTAAAATGACCATTGTTCCCCCTTGGTACCTCAAAAAAAGAGAGTCGATCATGGCTAACAAAGGAAGTTCATGATTGTATAAGATTGAAAGAAAAGACCAGCAAAGAATACAGAATGCAGCAGAAGAAAACGAGAAGCTGATAAGGAAAGGCGTACTAGAATATGAATGCAGAACAAAAAAACATTAAAAACTGCCTCTTGAACCATCTATAGGTATGTAAAAAGGAAATATTTGGTCAAAATGAATGAGGGTCCGTTATCAAGCAGAGCCAGCAGAATTTATGATGCAGAATAGAGAAATGGCAGAGAAACTAAATAATTTTGTTGTGTCTGTTTGGTTTCACAGAGGCAGACACAAGAAATTTCCCAGGAGTCGAGATTCAAGTAATTAGAGAGAATGAGGAGTTGAAGGAAATTATTAAGAAGAATGTTGAAGGCTGAATATTAATACATGAATTAATAGGGCTGAATGTTAATAAATCCCTAGACCTGATAGTCTACATCCCAGAATATTAGGGGAGGTATCTACAGAGGTAGTCGGTGCATTGGTTGTTATCTTCCATAATTCTCTAGATTCTGGAATGATTCCTGTGGAAAGGAAGGCAGTAAATTCGACCTCACTATTTAAGAAGTGAACTAGAGAGATGAATGAGAAATACAGATTTGTTAGCCTTATATCAGTGGAAGGGAAAATGCTCAAATCTGTTATAATGGATGGAATCAATAGCTACTTGGATAATAGTGATCTGATTAGGTAGAGGCAGCATGGATTTGTGAATGGGAAGTCATGTTTGACTAAATTGTTGGAGTATTTTAGTGATACTAACAAAATTGATAAAGGACAGTCGATGAACATAGTATTCTCAGATTTTGAGAACTTTTTTGATGAAGTCCCCCACAGGAGGCTGGGATAGGAGGTAATATACTGGCATGAGTTAATGATTGGCTAACAAACAGTAGGAATAAATGGGTCATTGTCACATTGGCAGGCTGTGACTAGTCGTGTACTGCAAGGATCAGCACTTGGGGCCCCAGCTGTTCATACCAATGATTTGGAGCAAATGCAATATTTCCAAATTTGTGGATGATAAATAACCAAGTAGGAATATGTGTTGTGAGGAAGATGTAAGATAACTCTGGGAGGATTTGTACAGGCTTAGTGAATGGGCAGTAGCATGGCACATGGAATTTAATGTGGAAGAATGTGAGGTTATCCATTTTGGTAGATAAGACACATATGCAGAGTATTTCTTAAATGGTAAGAGGTCAAAAAATGTAGATATACAAAGGGATCTGGATGTCGTATTCCCTCCAATTTTCTTAGAAGCCCGCACAGCTGGTGAGAGCCATGTATGGAAGGAGCTTCCATACGCAGAAGTCAATGATCATTGAAATGTTAGCCTTTATTGCAAGAGTACTGAAGTCCTCCTTCAATTGCATTGGGGATCAATTAGACCGCACCTGGAATACTGTGTACAGCTTTGGTCTCCATCTCCAGAAAAATGTTATTGTCATAGAAAGAGTGCAAAGAAGGATCACCAGACTTGCTACTGGATCTGTCCTATGAGGAGAGGTGGGCAAGCTGGATCTGCTTTCCTAGAGTTTCAAAGAATGAGAGGTAACCTCATTGAAACCTACAAAATACTGAAATGGCTAGTTAGAGATATTTTTAAAGAGCATCTTTGAGGAGAGCAGGGCTTGAACTTCAGTTTTCTTCCAACATTTCAAAATGCTCTTTTTGTTTTAAAAGGTTTTGGAAGCTCTGGAATATTCCTTCCATTCTTGTAAGGTCATGTACCTCACTGTCTGCGAGTTTGCATCCTGGGGGATGTTCCCCAGATCTGACTGAAGGTATTGAATTAATAATCATACTGTGTCCACCAGAGTTTTGCAATGCACACAAAGAAATGTCTGATCATCTTCTGTAATAAATAATAATGTCTTTGCTCTTTTCAGGAACAAAAACTGAAGTTGCTGGAAAAGCTCAGGAGGTCTGGCAGCATCTGTGAAGAAAAAATCAGAGTTAATGTTTCAGGTCCGGTGACCCTTCCTCAGAACTGATGATCAGATCTGCTGAGCTTTTCCAGCAACTTCTGGGTTCCTGATTTACAGCATCCACAGTTCTTTCGGTTTTTCTTTACTGTTTTCATTCTGGTGGAGTAAAAATAATGTGTCCTCCGCTAATTGCAGTCATGTGACTTGTGATCATGATATTTCTTAGAATCATGGAATCCCTTCAGTTTTGAAGCAGGTCACTGACCCTCTGAAGAGCGTCCCACCCAGGGCCACTCCCCTACCCTATCCGTATAACCCTGCATTTCCCATGGCTAATCCACCCAGCCTATACATCCCTTCACAGGGCAATTTAGCATGGCCAATACTCCTAACCTGCACATCTTTGGACTGTGGGATGAAACTAGAACACCTGGAGGAAACCCACGCAGACGTGGAGAATGTGCAAACTTCACACAAACAATTGCGTGAGGGTGGAGCAGTGAGGTAGTAGTGCTATCCACTGAGCCTGTGTGCCATTACATACTTTATAGCATTCACATGACCAACCTGATGATTCTTCCTTTTATGAGCAAGAAGCTAACCACTTGCTTCATGACAAGTTTTTTTTTTACTTCTTTTCGCTCATGTAGTTTTGTCTACCACCTGAAATTGTTTCTTCCATTTCTTGAGTATTTCCAATTGGGACAATTTCTTCCGATCTGCTTTTCCCAGACCCCTCATGGTTTTGATCTCCTGTCAATTCCTCATCTCCATTTTCTTTTCTATCCTTAATCCATGCCAGTGTATTATCCCCAATGTCATAAGCCCGAGTCTTGTGTAACGAAGTGTGGCAAATGCCTTCAGAAAATCCAAGTGTTCAACATCCATTTGTTTGTCCTTACCTATTGTGCTAGTTACATCCTTTAAAAAAGATGTCATCTCTGTTTCATAAAATCAGGTTGACTGAGAATGTGGCGCAACTCAGACCGATGGTCAATGCATAAATTCCACTCTGCTAAGTTTTCCTCATGATTTACTTTGTGTTTTAAAAAAATTACAATGTTTACACTTTGCAAAAACAGAATAAAAATATTTTGTTATTGTTTAGTTACAATATAATGTTTATTCAGCTTAAGTTCCGTTGTGGTTGTAGACATTTTGCTACAAATTTTAGTCCTTTTTTTCTTTTCACAGGGCATTCCAAACAATTAATGAATGATGGTGAGTGGCACATATTGAAGATTAATAGGATACAATTACTTAAAGATAGTGCATTATTACTGAGGAGGTGGTGGCATTGTAGTATTGTTGTTAGACTAGTATCCCAGAGACCCAAGTTAATGCCCTAGGGCACGGAACTGAATCCTATCAACCCAGAAATTTGAAAATCTGGAATTAAATAAAGCTAATTTAATGGTGACCAAGTAACTGTTGTCAATTGTCGTAAAAATATCTTTTCAGAAAGGAAACCCATTCTCATTACCTGATCTGGCCTATTTGTGACTCCAGATCTACTGCAATGTGGTGCTATTAACGATCATGCAACTCAGAGCAAGGGCAACAAATGGTGCCCTAGCCACTGAGTCTCACATCCCATGAATGAATAAAAATAGACAATTGTAGCAGATTCCCTGATGGACTGAGCCTCTGATCTCTAAAGATAAGAAAATGTAGGGAAATGCTCAAATACCAGCAAAACTCAGGAAAATTCTCCCTGCAGAATCTGCCTAACATGTTGAGTGAGACCAGCACTTTCTGTTCCTAATAGTGATCTCCAGTATTTTGCTTTAGTTTTCTCTCACTTTGCTTTGCGTCTGTCTTTGTCACTGACTCAGCAACAACAATTTCAGGGTAAAATACTTTCTCAAAATCAAGTGGAAATCTTATTGGATGTTAATTAAGTTCTCCTTTTTGCTCAGTTCGGTCGAAGCTAGAGGAAATCGTTGGTGCGTCTAAAAACTGGAGGTATGTTGATTGTGCAGTTCTTAAATCAGGTCTGAACAAAATTGGAATCATGAGCTCCCAATGGGATTGCAAGCTCTGGGGCACAATGGCTGCCATGGACCTTTGACTGAGTGAACAACAAACTAGCTTGCGGTCCTAACCTCTCCTCTTACTATCTCTGAAAAGGAGAGAAGTGAGACAGGAAAAGGAACAGAGGAACGTGAAGGACAAGTCTGAGAGAAAGGGCCTCTCAGCAACCCTGACTCCAGTCAATGGTGAATCTACTTCTCCCCCACCCAGCATCATGCACCACTCAGCACACTGCCATCTTTTAAAAGCACATCCCCACCTCGCTCAACATAGCTCACTGCCCCCTTTCCATCCCGCCTTCCCCTCGAGACGTACTCGTTTCCACTTCTCGCCCTCTGCTCTCTCTCCTGCCTTCCTCCCCACATACTTCTCCCAGACTTATTTCACCTTTCTCCCTCATCCCTCTCCTTGCCACCTCATCACTGTCACCTTCTGTCTCACCCTGAATCCACTTCCCAAGCCTCTCCCTCTCTGTAAGTGTGCCCACCCCCCGTCATAACACCCCCCTCCGCCTTAGCTCAATCTTTAGAGTCTCTATATTAGAATGATGTCTAACTAGATGACCAGATCCAATACATTGCACAATTTCCCATAAACTTTACTGCTGCTTTGCATTTGCTTGATGGATTTATTATCAAGTGTGGCAAATTGCCAAATTTCTTTCAGTTTCAGGTTTAGTAGTTAGACTGTACTGCACCCATGGCATTCAATTTTTATTTGAATTCAGTGATTTTGTTCAGCATTAAAATGCTCTCCACTTATACATTCTGCTATCCTTGTTAAGCAATTCTTCACCCACCTGTCCGAACAATCAACATTTTGTTTCTCATTAACCTGAAAATTTTACCACTTTGAATTAGATTTCTCATTACAGGTTGTTTCAATAAATTGCAGTCTGGGGAGGGTGATGAGATAGGGGTGAGGGGTTCGCAGGGAATGAATGGGGTTAATGTGACATATGCAGATCGAGAATGGGGGAAATGAGTGACATGAGTGCACAGATGAAAGATGCCAATGTTGAGTGGGTTATGGGTGATGGAGGGTGGGGGCGAAGAACATTTGTCAGTGAGGGGTGTGTTGGCATTTTCTTTCTGACTAATTCTTCATGCTCGCCTTGAGTTGCTTTTCCCTCTCTCTCATTCTCTCCTTTCCATAGAGGGTAAGAAGAGAGCAGATTATGGAAGGGATCTGTTGAGGGTGCAGGCTGGGTTTGCTCAATAAGAGATCCACATGGTATTACGCTTATACTGTGAGCCCTTGTCCAATATCTGTAACTGACACCCGGCAATAACTGTTCTCCAACCTAGCTTGATTCTTCTTCTGTTTGCTTTCTTGTTATATCCTGTCTCTCCAACCTACCATCCCATTCTCCCAGTTGCCTCCATAGCTCATTGTCCTCCACATTGCTGCCCATTTGCACTACCTGTACAGGCCTATATCTTTTCTGTTCTACCACGTCTTGATCCCATTCCCTGTCTCTGCCTTCTCTTTTCCCTGTGACCTTTCTGCCTGCAATTACCAACCAAAGCAAGACCAGTTACATGTAGTGGAAGCCCTGGTTGAAAGTCAAGGGATGTCATAACTGAAATTTCTTAGGCAAAATGTTTTCCTGCCCCCTTTGCTACCATCCCTGAACCCACAATTGCTCTGGCCTCCTTTGTACTGTCTTTTATTTTGCTTTTGACTTTTCCCTGGTCTCCTGCACCATTGTCACTGTCTCTCCATTCCATCTTTGCTCGCAATTCTAGTTTTCTTGTGACGCTTTTCCAGTGAACATCTCCAATCTCTGAAGGAAAGAGCTTCATTAAGCAATCAACTGGTGAGCAAGCAGGAGGATTTGCCTTATCGACGAATGAAGGACAGTTACCTAGAGGCTTATCTGCCATTGGGAAGCCAACCCAACTTGAGAGAGAAATACCTGAATGTTCATAAGCATGTAAGGTACAGCAACTGATTAATTGTGATTTCCAACTTCAATTACTTTTTAACTTTGACACTAAGTGGTTTGCACGTAGTATTTTCATGTTGAAACTCCCTTCAAAAAAAATTTCTTCCTCACGCAGATTTGGCAGGATTCTTGAAGACCTTGACTCATTTGGAGGTAAAGCCCTGGCCACTTTAAGCCAATTTTAAGTGCTCGTTACGTATTTTTGCTTCATTGGGAGAATGGCAAAACATATGTAAAATAGATGGTAGAGGTGATGACCAAGATCATAGATAACACAGACATTGATGTGCATGACATCCAATATGTCTCCAGATCCCAAATCCCAGTTATCAGCTTATCATCTGTTCAAGGACAGCCACGTTTAAAATGATCAAACTTGGAAATATTTTTGCATACCACCTGAAGATGGGGGCCTTCCAGCCCAGAGGTAGAAACACTACCTCTGCACGAAAAGCGTTCTCCTCAGTCAAGGAATGTGAGAAACATTGCATGAGACTGCCCAGATGTAGGGAGTATCTTCAATTTGTAGATGAGCTTGGGCATTACTCAGCTTTGCAATTAATCCACGGGAAATGCATTGGAAAGAAAGAACTTATTTGCAGCATCTTTTGCACTGAACATGTTGCAATAGATTTTCTTTGTCTTACTATATCTTGCGATGAACGTTTCAGTCAAGTACCAAGTATTCTTCCTAGCTTTCAGTTTTTAACAGATTACAGTATTCCCCTCTAAGTCTCAAGCTATCGTACCCTGAAAAATATCGATGTCACTTCTTAGGGACTAGATCAAGATCTTGAAATTTCCTTCTTAACAGCACTATTGATATACCTTCATCACCCAGATTGCAGCAGTTTAAAAAGTGGTTTATTAACGACATTCTTAAGGCAGTTGCAGATGGCTGTCAAATGCTGGCTTTGCCTGTGATGCCCAACAACCTGTGAAATTTTTTTTAAAAGTTTGAAGAAGTGGATAGGAGGAGGAGGAGACACGATTCTGGGTTGGGAAATGTACCCACAGAGGGAAAAGTCCAAATTCAAACAGGCACTTGAAAAGAAGGTAAAAGATAAAGGAACATGGGATTTGTGGACAATAATGGAAAGGTATCTACATTAGAGACTAGTAACAGAGCCTCTGAGTTTTGTGCACGTAACTCTGTTGGCTAAGAACTATTTGTAGTTAATATTTCAGAAGATTAATTATTGAGAAAGTGTGATATAATTAACATTTCTTTTTGTTTTACAGTTTTGATTAGCTATACTCATGCCAAAACTGATAGTCCTACAAGTCACTTTTCTATTGTCACTGCCCTTGTTGATGAAATAGGTATGTTTGCATTTTTCTCAAAATTGTATGGTTATTGTATCAACTGAAATTAATATATATATGTGGATGGCATTTACTGGATAGTTAGTCAAGCAGCTGTAAGGAGATGCTTCTCTTTAACAGATGTTTCTTTAGTTAACCAATTTACTTGACTACTCAAAAAGTATAAAGAAATACTAATGCTGGAGTGGAGTCAGGAGATACATACCTGTCATGTTTCACTTTGGGAATAAGTACATTCCAACTGAAGACTGGCTTTGGTTGCTTGTTCCACCAGTTCAGTTACAGGAATTTAATATGAATATTGTTTGTAGAAGTCTTGTGGAATCCATAAAATTCTTTCATTGCATCAGCCCAATGTATTTTCAGTAATACTACAATGATACAAAGTCACTTTTTGGGCATTATGCCAAAATGATGGACCAATTTTAGAGTCTGGTTGGGGATCTAACTTCTAGAAGTATGAAGTGCTGAATTGAGATCATTTCCAACAGATAGCAAAAAGCCCATTCCTTGTGCTTCGTAAACTTTTGATGTATGAAACTAACTGGTCCATTGGGCTGCAAGGACTGCTTTAATCTTCATGTTTCTGCGGCACCAAATACAGTTCACCCATTGCCTTTGCTCGCTGACCCACTTTGGCTTTAGCCAGTCTGTTCCTCAATTTTAAAATTCTCATACTTGTACTCAAATCTTCCTATGCCCCTCCCAGTTTTTGTGTCCATGAGCCCTACACTTTATTTCTCTGGTTCTAGCCTCTGGTGGTGTAGGGCCCATTGGTGGCTGATCAATCAGTTGTCTAGGCAACAAACATGAGGGGATAAAAAAAATCATCAAACGTTGGAGAGCTTATTGAGTTTATTAGGGTAAATCAGTACAGATTTGTCATAAGGAGATCATGCTTTAATAAGCTTATTGAATTCTTGAAGTAATGTAGAAGGTTGATCATTGAATTGTACTATACAGAAGAGGCCCTTCGGCCTATCGACTCTGTACCACCAAGCATGCACTAAATCTACACAAGTCCCACTTTCCAGCATTTAGCCCATCGCCTTGAATGTTAGGAAGGAAATCGACAATTTTAAGAAAATGTTTGTCAAAGCTCTAGATAAAAGGCCAGATAACAAAGTAACAGATTCATGTAATAGGTTAGTGTCTGCTGAGGGGGAGAAAAAGGAGGTGGAGATGCTAGAGAAGGGGTGTGTTGTGGAGAAAGTATCTTTCGGGACCTTCCTCCCCCCACCACCACTCCCCCACTTGCATGTCCTCAGTAACCCCCTTCACCTCTCTCTGCATCCTCACTATCTCCACCCAGTGCCCCCGCTCCACACCCCACCCCTGATCCCTGCCCTCACTCCTCCTGATGAAACTGATTTCAATGTTGCGCATTTTCACTGCATACAGACAACTTGGCCTTTGAGTGTGATGTCATGAAATGATTACGTAGCGGTCTGGAACTGTGCGCCCACATACTTCCAGATTACAGCCTATGTGGATGTCGGCAGACACTTCTTTTTTAAAAAAAAAACCCAAAATCTCTGCAGAGACTTGTCCTTTTGTGTTGAATGTATCTGCATGTGGGATTGAGGTGATAATTTTAATTTCGGATCGCAGCTTAGATGTTAATCAGTCATTGCTTTTCTTTAAAGAATAAGTTTTGTTCATAAAAAGCAGATTAGTTTGTTGGGGTTGATCACCTTGATTGGCAGGATACCTGGTTTGCACTGTAAAGTGATGCTGACAGCCTGTCTTCAATTCCCATGCTGGCTGAGGTTACTGTGAAGGCCCTGCTTCCCTGAACCCTGTCCCTTGCTCAAAGTATGGTGACCCTCATGTTAAACTCACCACTACTCTAATGAGAGAGCAGTCAATGGTCCTCTGGGACTGTGGTGACTTTCATTTCATATTTTGAGTTAATTAAAGAAGTCTGGTGGATGTTTCTTTTATTTTGGATAGTAGTATAAATGAGTGAATTTGTGTGTTTTGGTAGTTGAATCAATAAATTTACACTAATATTGCAACTGGTAGAGTCTAGGGGCTGGATATCAGTGCACTCCTCTGGTTTATAAAAACATACAATGCAGAAATTGCCTTTACTTGTTGAACTCATGTTAGTTGGACAATAGTAATAAAGATTGAAAATACAGAGCAACTATGTCAGATAGCAACTATGGAGAGAGGAACAGAGTTAATCTTAGAATTTTCCAGCACTTTCCGTTTTATTTCATATTGTCAACATCTGCAATGTTTTGTTTTTGTTCATTATTTATAGGTTGACTTGCTATTTTTGTGCTCTCATTCTGTTGGAAGTACAAAAATTTGAAATGCTATTTTTATTTTGTTTTCTCTCTAGATCTTGTCAGAAAGAAAATACGACCAGACTGCGACCTGAAATTCACTGGTAATGTCACCTGGGTCGGGAAGAGTTCCATGGAAATCCAGATGCATGTATCTCAGGTTAGCACACCATTCCTGAAAGAAAACACCCAGTAATTGCCTCAGGAAATTAAACACGATTGTCACTGAAAGCACAAAGATTTAAAATGGCTCTTGGTTTTCCAAGCATCACTTAAAATGTTTGTTGGTCCAACTAATGCTAGTTCAACAAGTAAAAGCAATTTCTGCATTGTTTGTTTTTATAAACAAGGGATGTCTTGCCAGACAGTAAGTGTCCAGGTGAAGATGTCACAGAAGACAGAAGTTGGAGTTTGTTTTACATGTAGTTTCTGGATTGATGAGAAAACTGAAGGTGAAGTCTTTTATGACATCTGTGACACTTGGAATGGAAACTTGCAGTCAATTCTTGCACTGTTAATCACTGTAGGACACACAGCAGCTTAGTTCCATTTTTATTCTTCAATATTGAGTATAGAATAAGAGCTTCTTCTGAAAATGCTCTGGGTAACATTCCTTTTGACCACAAAAACAGAAATTGTTAAAGAAGCTCAGCAGGTCTGGCAGCATCTGTGGAGAGAAAGCAGGGTTAACCTTTTGGGTCCAGTAACCTCCTTCATGGATTCAAAATGGTTCATCACAACCTGATCAAAACAAAGCTAATGTAATCTGCCATTTTGCAAACAACTGACAGTGCTAACAAACTAGACTGAAGTTTCTTAACTAATCACATGCCCTTTTGTATGATTGATCAAGTTAAGGAATTGACCAAAGAGGGATGTTAACTTTGTCTTCTCAGTAATGAAAATATTATTATCTTTGGGACAGTTCAAGAAATTGTTCATTTCCTATTCTTTGGATAGCTTTTCAACCATCTTGGAATAATATATGGACAAATACGGTTCACAAAATTGAATGTGCATGCGAAGTGTTGAAAGATATGGTCTTGACCAGATGGAGGGGACAAATTTATCTCTTAGTTGCTTGGATGTATAGCTTTGAATAGGAATATGTTGGAAAATCTGGTGAGGAGGATTACACAGCTGTACAACCCATCCAATCTTCTGCCCATTTTAGAATGGATGGCATTGTGGACATGTCGTCCTCCTGGTTGAATTTTCCTGTATGTGACTCACGCAATTGGTCTACCCCAGTTGCTAAAAAGGATGATCCAGCCCTTCGTTTCCTCAAAAACACATGCTGTGCTTGTCAAATGACAAGGATTAGAAGCTTTATTAGTGGTTAGACATCAGAGACATAGGGTAAAAACAGAAGTTGCTGGCAAAGCTCAGCAGATCTGGCAGCGTCTATGAAGAAAAATTGAGTTAACGTTTTGGGTTCGGTGACCCTTCCTCAGAACTCTGAAGAAGAATTACTGGATGTGAAACGTTAACTCTGATTTTTTTCTTCACAGATGCCAGCAGATCCACTGAGCTTTCCCAGCAACTTCTGTTTTCATTCCTGATTTACAGCATCCGCAGTTCTTTCAGTTTTATTTAGAGACGTAGGGCAAACGGTTGTTGATTTGTGTAATCCTGCATTAAAGAAATTCTAAAAAATATCACAAATTGTTGATTTTTCACTAAAGGTGAATGGGCAACCAACCGACGAATTGACAGTGCCTGACCACTACTGAGAAAAGGTTGTCATATATGTACAAACTACAGACACTGAGGATATTGATCAAGCCTTGTCATTTCCTGTATGTCAGAAAACACAAATTCTGCCAAGAATGAAATCAGTTCAGTCGAATGAGTTTGGATGATGCATTTCATTTAATTGTTTTTTTTCTTTCAAGTATCACGATGATGTTTACAATCCCGTCTTAGATGCTACTTTTGTGATGGTTGCACGAGATCCTGCAAATAAAGGGTAATCAATGTCAGAACTACTTTCTGTATAAGTTAGAATAAGTTATTTGATTTATTTTGTGTGCAGACTTTCTAGTGTCACCCTACAAACGCATTGTTTTTCTTTGCACATCTGAAGGTGACAAATAACTCTCAATAAACTGAAAATGTAATGTACAGAATGTTGCACATGATAAATATTTAGCTTCAGTTTCTGCTACGTATCCAAAGGATATTTTTCCCACTTCTGTGAAAAATTTCAATTACTTACGTAAAACATAAATCACAAGTTAAATGTCTTGCATTCATGAAAAATGTATTGCATGCTGCTATTTGTATTCTAATGTTTATTTGGGAGAAGACGAGGATTAGTTGATAGTGTGTTGAGCAACACACTTTCTAACCTTTGAATGTTGAGTGTGTCTCCAAGCTCACTTTTGGCAATAACATAAACAAAGCAAAAAGTAAGTTTGTCTATCTGGTAAAATTTGTCCCAGCTGGATCTTGGCATCATGCAATGTCTCTGCCAAACAGCATCAAAGAAAGAGAATGGGTAATTTCAACAACTTTTAGTGTGGTTTATCCTGACTTTGCTTGATCAGCTGTGACTGTCCCCTCTTGAGGCAGAACCTGTTGGTTCCAGCTTGAGCACCAAAATCTAGGCCAGTATGCCACTGCAGTGCTTTCAGGTAAGTCAAGAAACTGAGGTCGCATCAGCCGTCATAGCTGGCCATAAAAGATGTATTTTGAAGATTAGCCCTAGTGTGCCAATGTTTATGCCTCAATCACTATCACTAAACATATGACCTGTTTGTTAGCATTTTGTTATTTGTGGGACCTTGCAATGCACAAATTGCCTATAATGCTTATTGAGTCATAGGAATGAGTACTTCAAAAGCACTTCACTCACTGTCAGGTGCATTGGATATCCAGAGGTTGAGAAAAGTGTTATAAAAATATTGTCTTTTTTACAGAATGGAGTCCTAGATATTGGCAGACTTTCATTCCTACTTTGGCCTCACTTGGGTCTGATCTAGGCAAGTTGACTGGAAAGTTAGATTGGGAGCATTGATGCTTCCACTTGCAAAATTTTCAGCTAGAGTGGAGCCATGTCAGACTGGGCAACGTGCTTTGGATCATCTCTGCCTTAACATTGCTGGTATAAAGACCATTATGCATTCTTGTTACTCAATATGGTCATGGATGTGACTGGCCTGGCATGTGGAGAGTAGAAGCCAACCTAATCATTTTTCTTTCTTCAGATAATCTCCCATTCAGAGGTAGCTTTGCAGTTGCAATTCACATACTTAATCTTCAATTACTGAGGAAAGCAGATGGGATGTTAGCATTTATTGCAAGGGGAATAGAATATAAAAGTAGGGAAGTTTTGCTGCAGCTGGACATAACCTTATTCAGACCCTATCTGCAGTAATGTGTAGAGTTTTGACCAACTTATTTGACAAAGGACGTATTGCTTTTGAAACAATTCAGAATTAGAACAATTAGAAACAATTACTCAATTCATTCATAAACATAGAAGCTGGGAGAAGACCATTCAGTCTTTGCGTCTTCTCCTCCATTCAGTATGATCATGAGTGATTCACTATCCCATTGCCATATTCCTGCTTTCTCCTCATACCCCTTGTTGCTTTTAATATCTAAAAACTTATCTATTTCTTGAATACACCCAGTGACCTGACTTTCACAGCATTTGTAGGAATGAAATCCACAGGTTCGCTACCCTATTGGGTGAAGAAATCTTTCCTCATTTCAGTCCTAACTGGCTTACTCAGTATCCAGAGACTGTGATCCCTGGTTTAAGTTTCCCAATGAGGGAAAACATCCTCCCTGCATCTAGTCTATTGAACCCTGCTAGGAAATCACGTGTTTAGGTCAGATTCCTCTCATTTTTCTAAATTCGAGTGAATATGATCCCAATCCAATTAATCTCTCCACATACGACACTCCTGCTATCCCCAGTATCAGCTTAATGCACCTCCACTGCACTCCCTCTCAAACAACAAGTATATCCTGTCATAGGTAGGAAGACCAAAAATGCACACAATATTCCAGGGCAGTCATACCAAGTCCTGTATAACTACAGTAAAACATTCTTACTTCTAAACTCTCATTCTCTTGCAGCAAAGGCCAACATACCATTTGCCTTCAGAATTGCTTGCTGCATCTGCCTGTTTACTTTCATTGACTTCATTTGGATACAGAACTGGCTCAAAGGTAGAAGACAGAGGGTGGTGGTGGAGGCTTGCTTTAGAGACTGGAGGCCTGTGACCAGTGGTGTGCCACAAGGATTGGTGCTGGGTCCATTACTTTTCATTATTTAGAAAAATGGCTTGGATGTGAACATAGGAATGGCTAGTAAGTTTGCATTTGACACCAAAATTGGACAGCGAAGAAGGTTACCTCAGTGTACACTGAGGTCTTGATCAGATGGGCCAATGAGCTGAGGAGTGGCAGATGGAGTTTAATTAGATAAATGCAAAGTGCTGCATTTTGGAAAGGCAAATCAGGGCAGGACTTATACACTTAATGGTAAGGTCGTGGGGAGTGTTGCTGATCAAAGGGACCTTCGAAAGCAGGTTCATGTTTCCTTGCAAGTGGAGTCGCAGGTAGACAGGGCAGTGGAGAAGGTGTTTTGTATGCTTGCCTTTATTGGTCAGTGCATTCAGTATAGGAGTTGTGATGTCATGTTGTGGTGTACAGGACATTGGTTAGGCCACTTTGGGAATACTGTGTGCAATTCTGGTCTCCTGCTATAGGAAGGATGTTGTGAAACTTGAAAGGTTTCAGAAAAGATTTACAAGGGTGTTGCCAGGGTTGGAGGATTTGAACCACAGGGAGAGGCTGATTAGGCTGGGGCTGTTTTCCCTGGAGCATCAGAGGGTGAAGGGTGACCTTGTAGAGGTTTATAAAATCATGAGGGACATGGATAGGGTAAATAGACAATGTTTCTTCCCTGGGGTGGGAGAGTCAAAAACTAGAGGGCATAGTTTTAAGGTGAGAGGGGAAAGATTTAAAAGGGACCGAAAGGGCAACTTTTTCATGCAGAGAGTGGTGCATATATGGAATGAGCTGCCAGGGGAAGTGGTGGAGGCTGGTACAATTGCAACATTTAAAAGGCGTCTGGATGAGTATATGAATAGGAAAGGTTTAGAGGGATATGGGCCAAATGTGGCAAATGGGACTAGTTTTATATAACTGGTTGGATATCTGGTTGGCCTGGACGAGTTGGACTGAAGGGTCTGTTTGTGTTGTACATCTCTGTGATTCTATGACCGGTGTACATGGACATCCCAATCCCTTTGTACATCCACGTTTACCAATATATCTCTGTTTAATAATATTCTTCCTTTCTGATTTTCACACCAAAATGTGTAATTTCACATTTAGGTACATTGTGTTTGCCTACACACTCAATTTGTCTAGATCACCCTGAAGCCGCCTCGTATCCTACTCACAACTCCCAATCCCACCCACCTAATTTAGTGTCATCATCAACAAGCGTATATTGCATTTGGTTCCCTCATCCAAATCATTTAAATATTTATAGTGAATAGTTGGGATAAAGCACTGATACCTGCAGTACATCAATAGTAACCACCTGCCACCTGGAAAAGTTCATTTATTCTCACTCTCTCTTTTTCTGGTCTAGTCTGCTAATTCTTGATCCATACCACAGTGTTACTCCCAATCCAGTGTGTGTTAACTTTGCTCACAAGCCTCTTATGTGGGACCTTATCAAAATAAAAACCCGGGATGAAGGGCTTGTCTTATTAAGAAAAAGTTGGAAAGGCTGGGTTTCTATCCATTTGGAGTTTGGAAGAATGTGTGGTGATCTTCTTGAAACATATAGAATCTTGAACAATTTTAAAAAAACCCAAAGAACTGTGGATGCTGGAGATCTGAAACTAAAGCAGAAATTGCTGGAGAAACTGAACAAATCTGGCAGAATCTGTGGCAAGGGTTAATGTTTTGAGTCTAGTGACCCTTCCTCAGAATTATTTATCTTCACAGATCCTGCCAGACATTCTGAGTTTCTTCATTCTTATTGCAGATCTTGAGAGAACTTGATAGGGTGGATAAAGGGAGGATGTGGAGGAGACTAGAACAACAGGACATAGTTGAGAATGGGTGGGGGGGTGGGCTCCCTTCTAAAACAGATGAGAAGATTTTTTTTGCTCTGAGTTGTTAGTCTGTGGAATTTTCTTCCCCAGAAGTCAGTGAAGGTTGTGTCATTGAATTTATTCAAAGTTGAGTTAGATTTTTGTAGTCAAAGAAGTTTTGAGTCGGGGAGCAGGACAGGAAAGTGACATTGTGATCACAATCAGATCAGCCATGAAAGAGTGGACTTGAATAGCTAAATGGCCCACTCCTACTGCTGTTCATAATTATAAGCATTCATCCTGAGCACTATTTATCTCAGATCAGAATCCCCTGCATCAAATATACAAATATAGAAATATGGAGAAGGAGTAGATAATTTAGTACCTTGAGCTTGCTCCACCTTTTCAATAAAATGATGGCTGATCTGATTGTAACCTCATCTGCATTCTCGACTTCCCTGATAATCCTTCAATCATTTACTTAATAAGAACATTTCTACCTCTACCTTTAACATATTCAAGGACTTTTCAGGAAAAGTGTTCCAATCATACACAACTGTCTGACAATACAAAAAAAAGCTTACTATCTGTTTTAAATAGTGACCCTTAGTTGTAGATTCTCATAAGCTGAAACAGCCCCTCTGTAGCTACCCTGTCAAGACTTCTTGGGATTTTATGTTTCAGTCAAGTTGCCTCTTACTCTTCTAAACTTCTGACTTTTGATTTGAAACCTGAGCACTAAGCCAGTGTTGTTTTTTTTAGTTCCCTGCGACATTCCCCTCATATCTATTCTTTATATGTACACAGAGCCAATGTTCAGTCATTGTTCCCTTTCATGAGCTCATCTTCTGTTCACTTATAAAATTACACTTCTTATTAGTTTTGTTTTGTAGATCAATTTCAGTAGTTAATCTCAGTAAATTCTGCCTTTCTGTCTTGCTTATTATAATGTTATTTGATTTACTGACTCTGGCATTTCAAGTAGCCCAGCTATGAGTGGTCTGTGGTGTAAAATCCACATCACTGACCCACATGGATAATGGAACATTCAGTTTTCCCCTGGCCAGGCAGAGTGCAGCTGTTAGCGCTGTTTTTGTGACTAAACAAGCCCACTCAAATTTCTCCTGAAATGGTTCTTGGCTTTGTAATAGAATCCTTTATATTCCAGTGTCGCTGCCAGATTTGGGACCATTGGGTGACAATGCGATGTAACAACCAGACACTTAGTGAATAAAATTCTTCCTGTTAATTCAAGCAAGAGCAGGAAATTGCATTTGTCTGGCATTTTTCATGCTCAGATGTCCCAAACTACATGAATACCAACTTTTTAATAAAAATTTTGTATTTCATGAGATGTGGCATCACTGCCAGGACCGGCATTTGTTTCTCATTTTTAATTGCCCATTGAACTGAGTGGCTTGCTAGGCCATTACAGAGTGCAGTTAAAAGTCAAGATAGACAGCAGGCAGATGGGATAAGGACAGTTGATATCCTTCCCTAAAAGTCGCTAATGAACCAGATGGCTTTTTACAACAATCTTATTTTAATGATAGATTGACCAATTGAATTTTAATTCCATCAGCTGCCATGGTGGGACTTGATTCCATACCTTTGGAGCACTGTGTTGGGCCACTGAATTACTAGTCCAGCAACATTACCACTGCAACACCAATTGGATAGTTAAGTAGCTACAAAATAGAAAGTAGAGTGCGAATTCTAGCTATCAGAGTGGGTCTTCTCAGGGTCAGTGCAGGGGCCACAACTGGTAGCTAACTATTTGTTTTAATAATTTTGGCTTTGCAATTAAAAACACAATTTCTAAATGTATGGACTGCACCAAATTGGAGATAATCATTTGTAATGAAGAGGACTACAACAAATTACTAGAATATATTGATAAACTTGCAGAATGGACAGAAATTGGAAAATTAATTTCAACATTGGCAAGCATGAGCTATTGTATTTTATTGAGAAAAGTAAGCAAGTTGCATATTACTTCAGAAGTGAGAAGATAAACGAGGTTGAAGAGCAAACCACTAAAAAGTAGTAAGTGAATACGACCATTCCTTTTCTAAAAAAAAGTAAGCACTAGAATTTATTTCTAGGTGAATAAAATTGAGAAGTAGACAAGATGTGCCCAACAAATATCAAACCTTGGTTAGATCACACTTGGTGTACAGCATACAGTTCTGGTTGTCATATTGAAAAGATAGAGGCATTAGAGAAGTTATACAAAAAATTAACGTGATTGATATCAGGACAATTAGATTATATCATCAGGAAAGCATATACAGGCTGGGTTTCTTCTCTGAAGTGAAGGCTGCAGGATGACCCAATAAAAGTCCTTTAAATTATGAAAGGGTTGTGATAGACTAGAGGATAAGCAAGTGTTGCTATTTGTGGACAAGAGCAAAACCAGAGGCTGCCAATACAAGGTAGATGCCAATAGATCAAGTCTAAAGTTCATGAGAAAAAAAGATTATGCAGTGGGTGGTGTGGAACTCACTACCGCAGAGAGTGATTGATTGAAATGAATAGGACTGCTGTATTTATGGAGAAGCTCAACATACAGCAAGAGGGAATAGAGTGTTATACTGACAGATGAGAATGGATAGCAGGAGTTCAAATGAACACAACCTGGTCAGCCAAATGGTATATTCTTTTACATAGGCATAACATGTTCTGTTAAAGGCTGAAATTATTTCTTTCTCTCTTACAGTGCAGCTGTAATTAATCCATTGAAACCTGAAGGTCCGGAGGAGGAGAATCTCTTTAAACAAGGAAACTGTAAGTCATGTTGCACCTTCACTGCCTAACTATCATAATGAAGGAAATATGTTGCATACATACAGCCTATATAGTTTACTTTAATGCAGCCAATGCATTATTTTGAATTGTACTACTTGTTTTGGCATCAAATGCAGCAGCCAATTTATCCACAGCAAGGTCTAAAAGACAAAAATGAAATAAATAACCAGTTGTCTATTTTTTAATTGCTTGGTTAAGGGATAATTATTCACTTTTTTTTCCTTTTGAATAATGCTGTGAAATCTTTTACATTCATCCTGATAAAGTATTGGGGAAGCAATAGTTAGAAGTTTTGCTGAGATAACGATGTACCATAAATTTTGGAATGTGTGCCTGTGTTTGTGACAAGCTGAAGGTTGCAGCTGTTCTTGCTCAACCACCCCTCCACCCACGGCTGGGGCTACTTCCCCTATTCAATGGAACATTGTTAACTGCACTGCTTATCTGCTTATGACTCATGTGAACAGTATGGGATGTGATAACATTTAGTCAGGTTGGGTAGAGAAATATGTATGTTAATCACACACATGAGGGCTATAAAATGTACTGCTTTTATGTTATACACAGAGGTCCGACGAGAGTCCACCGAGTGAGAGTTGATTGTTACTTTGGTGTTGACTCCGGACCTCTCGCCGGCTAAGCTAAAATAAAGAAGTTAATGGAACTCTTGTGGGGTCCGGAAGTTTTTGAGTCAACAATCCAAAGAGAAAATGTGGCCATGGCTTAACATCTCATTAAAGAGACTGAGTAATTGCATTGGGATGTCAACCAAAATTAAGGCATTCCTGGCTGGGGAGAAGGCAGCCAATTGGCACACCATAAAAGTGACATATTGTGGATACTGGAGATCTGAAATAAAAACAGAAGGCTTAGCAAGTCTGGCAGCGTCTGGAGAGAGTGAAACAGTTGATGTTTTGAGGCCAATAATATGACTCGACTGGTGGTAATACTGGACAAGTCAGATTTCAGAGTGAAACCTGGCTTCATAGTCTTTGTTTTACTTTTGTATTTTGGTTAGTGTGATGAACATATTTACAAGAGGTTACATATGTACTTTTAACAAAAGAACATAACTTTGTTAATTTTCCTTTTATGCAATAATGGTATAAATGTGACAAGTTTGAAAGATCTTATTAATAACAGCAAAAAAATTCAGTTCTCTTTAGACATTCAATATCTATAGACATTCAACACCAGTGAAGTACCACTCCAACTTTAGTCTTTCATTTATTACTCAATTGATGCAAGGAAGTGATCAGAGATAACCTTACCTGCTTGTAACAAGTGTTATTGCAAGGCTGTATGGTATAAGAAGCATTTTCAGAAGTTTGGTGGATTATCCCCTAACGACTTAATGGATGTTTATCCCTGCAAATTTTTTACACAGAGGGTGGTTCATGTGTAGAATGAACTTCCTGAGGAAGTGGTGGATGTGGGTACAATTACAACATTTAAAAGGTATATGAATAGGAAAGGTTTGGAGGGTTATGGGCCAGGAGCATGCAGGTGGGACAGGTTTAGTTTGGGATTATGTTCGACATGAACTAGTTGGACCGAATGGTCTGTTTCTGTGCTGCATGACTCTATGACTTTATGATGAGGTCACAAGTGTTTCATTTTGGCAACTTTCTGCACATTTCTTTCCATCTCTCCGCAGCTCGTTCACTGGCATTTTTCTGACTAAATTGTAAAGACAGTTTAAAACTACTTTCTGGCTCCGATGGCCTGGATTGCTGAAACATCCTGAGACCTCTTTCCAGCTCTGAATTCCACAAATTAAAAATTGCCCTCCTGTCGGAACGAGTCTACTCTTCTGAACTCTGCTTGTGGCCTTGGGCCATGTAGATTGTAAAGTCCAACTTTAGCAATTATCTCCCTAAGTACCTTGCTAGTCATTTGGCTTAAGTCACATGCTTTCTTGACAAGGCTACTTTGAACTCCCTGTTCAAGATTGATTTTCTGACTTTTTTTCAAAAGAACACAAGTTACATTCACTGAAATAAAACCAAAAATCCATGTTAATTCTAGAATCCAACTTCCAAGGCAATAATATGATATAAGCCATTATAACATCATAACCAATTAGTGCTGTTGCACAGGGATAGAAGACATTGAGCTTCATTTACTGACTTAAAACTTGATAAAATTAACTGTGCAGATGGAGTTGTGCTAAAACTGGCCCAGTAATTTATACATGGTTTCTTGTCCTCAACTCCTGCCGTTGCTACAATCACTAGAAGGGCCAGACACAGAATATTTTTAATCTGTGCATCATCTTGAAATTGTCGTTTTCTGTAAAGGAAGAGATTGTTTAAACAATCTCTCTTCTGCCTGTGATAAAGGCAGTGGAAGGTATTGCTGAGAGGCAGATTTCTGTTTTGTCCTTGTCCTTGTCCTTGTCCTTGTCCTTGTTGAAATACAAAGCTGTCATGTTGAAGGGATTTCATTTCAAATGGAGCCTCTTCATGCTGGTTATGTCAGAAGGCAAATGGCAAGGTCGCCTTTATTGTAAGGGGATTGGTGTGTATGAATGATGAAGTCTTACCACAGTTGTTTAGGGCTTTATGCTTAAGTTTTAGTTTCAATATTTAGACAAGGATATACTTATATTGGAGGCAATACATTGCAGCTTCGTTAAGTTGAGTAACAAGATGCTGAGAAACATGGCCTGTATTCTCTAGAGTTCAGAGAGTGGAGGCAATCGCTTTGAAACATGCAGGATTCTGAGGGCTTGATGAGATAGATTACTTAAGCTGGTCTGCTAATCTAAAGCATGGAGGCATACTCTCAGGATAAAGAGCTGATCATTTAGGACTGTGAAGAGAAATTATTTTACTCAAAAAGTTGTGAATCTTTGCAGTTGTCTACCTTAGATAGTTTTGGATGCTCCATTGTTGAGTATATTTAAAGTTAGTATAGACTTTTTGTCTCTCAGGGCATCAAGAGACAGGGGCGCAGATAGGAAAGTGGAATTGAAGCCTAAGATAGGCCATGATTATGTTGAATGGCAGAGCAGATTCAGCACACTCTATTGTCTGCTCTAGATCTCGTGATTATACTTTAAATGGAAAATAAGAATAGTGCAGTCCAGTATTCTTTGTATTCTATTTCTATAGAGATTTATATTGAGAAAAGTAATTTGAAGTTCATTCTGTTTGTAGAATGTGTATAAACCAATCCTTGACTTAGTTTAATGCATTTTGTAAATCTATTTTATCTTTTTTATCTGATTTTGAGCTTGATCCAAACTTGTCTAAAGCAAAGTTGTACCTCTCCTCATCCACATGATTAATTTGGTATGTTTGCTGATGTGCATTGCCTGCAATGAAACTGTTCCTGTTTACCGCATAAGATTACCAAACCCCCAACTCTTTTCTTTTCATGATGTGGAAGTTTTCACCCTCACTGTATTATACTTATTATCTTAGAAACATCGATAACTGCCCTCTGGGTATTTAGGGATGGGCAGTAAATGCTGGCTTGGCTAGTGATGCCCACATCCCTTGAATGCATATAAAAAATAAACTTAGAACATGAGTAGGCCTTTTGGCGTTTTGAGCCTGCTAAGCCATTCAATATGATCATGCTGATCCACTATTTCAATGCCATTTTTCTGCTTTTCTCCTATGTCCCTTGATTCCAGTAAAATATTTTAAAAAGTCTTTGTTTTGAATATATTGGCCTCCACAGCCTTCTGTGGTAGAGAATTTCACAGATTCACTGCCATTTGAGTGAATAAATTTTTCCTCATCTCAGTCTTAAATGGTCTACCCCATATCCTGAGGCTGAGTCCCCTGCCTGTAGACTCCTGAAACAGGAAGACCATTCTCCCTGTATCTAGTCTGTCCAATCTTATCAGAATTTTATACATTTCAATCGGATTCTCTCATTTTTGTCAACTCTAGTGAATACAGGCCGAGTCGAAACAATCTCTCCTAAATATATCCTTGTTAATCATTTTCTCTTCCCATATTTATAGAGGGTTTTATAGTCAGTTTCTATGTTCCATGCGATTTGACTCTTGTACTGGATTTTCTCCTTCTTAATCAAACATTTTGTCCCGCTTTGCTGAAATCTAAAATGCTCCCAATCCTCAGGCTTGCCAGTTTTTGCTGGTAACTTTCTGTTTGTTTAAGGTGTAAACATTAATTTTGCATTCTCTCCTTTTGAATTTGATAACAAAGCTACTGGAAGCAAATTTTTTTTTTTTTTTTTTTTGTTCAAATTCTAGTGAACAAAGCAAAACGAACTAAGCTAAAGGAGACCTCATTATTGAAAATAGCACCGAATGAGGAAGAGAGAAAAATTATTCACGATATGTTCCTTGGGACTCTGGATATGCGGTAAGTGCTCAATCTACCCATCCTTGCAAGCCTTGGAGCATGTTCATAGAATCCCTATGGTGCAAAAAGAGGCCATTCATCCCATCAAATCTGCACTGACTCTCTGAAGAGCATCCCACCCAGACCCACCCACTACCCTATGCTCATAACCCTGCATTTACCGTGGTTAATCCACCTAGCTTACATGTCCATGGACACTATGGGGCTATTTAACATAGCCAATCCAGCTAACCTGCATGTCTTTGGATTGTGGGAGAAAACTGGAGCATCCAGAAGAAATCCACACAGACACAGGGACAACATGCAAACTCGACACAGATAGTCACCTAAGGCTGGAATCGAACCTGGGTCTCTGGTGCTGTGAGGCAGCAGCGCTAAGCAGTGTCCCCTTTTGCTGCCAAATGATGTCTTCCATTAGATGTGATTCTGCTATCAAGCAACAATTCTTAATTAATCTAAACGGCACTGAGAATTACACTGGAAACCAATTTCAGGTATTCAGTCAGACTTGTAGTGTGACCCATCTGCATGTGCTAGAAGCTACATAGATTAATACACAGGACCCTGTTTTATGTAGGCAAAAGGAATTTACCTGTTAATTGCACCATTTTCATTCGGGGATCTAAAGGGGATAATGGAGACCACTAATCTCTGTTCCATTTCCGTGGTGACAGGGTGTACTTGCCTAGTCTGTAAACTAAGAATGAAAGTTAACTATTCCTAATGTGACTTCAAATCAACTATGGCCCAACTATTCAGTAGTCTCTTCTCATGTTGCATAAATCGGTGTTCCTTTTCCCCCGAGACTCTCTTTCTTGTGTGTCAGTCCTGATAACTGTACAACGAAAAGCTTGGACTTTGTTTGTCCTTTTAGCCATGTTTAATCATCGTCGAATAGGGCGGCAAATCTGCAGTAACTGGTGGAAGTGACCAAATCATCTCAACCATTGATCTGCTGACTCTGAAGTCGGACTGAGATGCCAGGGTCTGCAAGCTGGTCCGAGCAATGCAAGTAAAGACTTTCCCTACAATATGTAACAAGGAGATGCTTCTGTAAATGTTGCAGTCATTGCTAATTCCTTTGTTTTTGTACAAGGTGACTATATGTGTATCATGCACGTCCCAAGGCACAAGTTTTATCTTCTGACAGAGACACACAAGTTCGTGGAGATATGGCGCAGTGCTGGTTCTCCACTTGGATGTTTTTAGGCCAAATGCCATCATTTCCCAGAAACTGGTCACTGGCCTTGCTGAGCTTGAACCTGATGGTCTTCTGCCCAGCTCCTCAATCACAGGAAAATTTCGAATGGTACCAAGCACTGCTTCAGTCACACTGTGTTCTGTTGTGTAGAGTTCCAGCAAGTGCATCACCCACCTTTCCATCAGCTCGTTAGGTTCTGTGATGATTGTCCCTGTCTTTGTGTTAAGCAGGGCTGATTGGTTTGCTGCTTGGCCTGCTGCTTCCTCGATTCCTTCACATCTCCCTCTAGCTTCTCTGCATTCAGCAGATTGCAGGCTGTGGCAGAGTTTCACTCGTATTGATTGGTGCAGTGATGCACTGTCAGAGTCATGCAGCACGGAAAAAGACCTTTCAGTCCAACCTGGCCGCGCTGACCAGACATCCTAATTTGACCTAGTCCCATTTGCCAGCATTTGGTCCATTTCCCTCCAAACCCTTCCTATTCATATACCCATACAGATGCCTTTTAAATGTTGTAATATACTCGCCTCCACCACTTCCTCTGGCAGCTCGTCCCATACATGCACAACCCTCTGTGTGAAAAAGTTACCCCTTAGATTCTCTTATATAACACAGTGTGGAGCTGGAGGAACACAGCAGGCCAGGTAGCATCAGAGAAGCAGGAAAGCTGACGTTTCGGGTCGGGACCCTTCTTCAGAAGAAAGGTCCCGACCCAAAACATCAGTTTTCCTGCTCCTCTGATGCTGCCTGGCCTGCTGTGTTCCTCCAACTCCACACAGTGTTATCTCAGACTCCAGCATCGGCAGTTCTTACTATCCCTCGGGTTTTCTTTATATCTTTACCCTCTCACCTTAAACCTATGCCCTCTAGCTTTGGACTGTCCCACCCTAGGAAAAAGACCTTGGCTATTCACCCTATACATGCTCCACATGATTTTATAAAGTCACCTCATTGCCTCCAATGTTGCAGGGAAAAAAGCCCCAGCCTATTCAGCCTCTCCCTATAACTCAAACTCTCCAACCCTGGCAACATCCTTGTAAATTGTTTCTGCACCCTGTCAAATTTAGCAAAACCCTTCCTATTGAGGAATTGACAAGAATTGAACACAGTATTCCAAAAGTGGCCTAACCAGTGTCCTGTACAGTCGTAACATGACATCCCCACTACTATGCTCAATGTTCTGACGAATGAAGGCAAGCGTGCCAAACACCGCCTTCACTATCCTGTCTACCTGCAGCTCCACTTTCAAGGAACTATGCATCTGCACCCCTAGGTCTCTTTGTTTGGCAACAGTCTCGACTGAGATTTGAAATTGGTAGCTGTGAGATTTTGTTTATCGGGGACTTTGTTGTTGCTGAGGGCTGTCCTCTTGATTGCAGTAACTGTCTCCATTTCAGTCCATTAAATCTGAAAGTAGTCACATCTCCTCTGGTCTCTTTTCCAACACAGTGAGTGTAGAATTACAAATAGTGCTGTGCAGATGGCCACTTTGACACTTAATTGAAAAGTGTACAGTTGAGGGTGTTGAGGAACTGCTGGGTCCTTTCTGGGTCAGTGGCACAGAAAGCGTTGATCCAAGGATGAGCTTTCCTCTTGAATTGATATCGTTTATTTAGCTGAAGCCTGACCTTGCTACACACCGTGAAGTGTTCAATGTCACAGTCAGTGCTCTGATAGCTACAAGTCTTTTTTATTTATTCATGGGATGAGTTTGTTGCTGGCTAGGCTGGCATTTATTGCCCATCTCTAACTACAAAGAGGTCAGTTAAGAGTTAACCACATTGGTGTGGTTCTGGAGTCACAAGTAGGCCAGACCAGGCAATGATAGCAGATTTCCTTCCCAATAGGACATTAGTAAACCAGATGGTTTTTTTCTGACAACTGGCAGTGGTTTCATGGTCATCATCAGACAATTAATTCCAGATTTTTTATTGTATTCAAATTCCATCATCTGCTGTGGCAGAATTCAAAATCTGGGTCCCAGAACATTAACTGGGTCTCTGGATTAACAGTCCTGCAATAATACCATTGGGCCATCACTAATTTAGGCTGGTTCCTGTGGTAATGATGCAATCTAGGTAGGGTGATGGCGTGATTTCGGATGTCACCGGGTCAGCTTGTGATATAGCTTGATTTGGAAGTAGTTGATCATCACCCAGAATCCAAGGTAACATTGTAGCTCGAGTAAACTCTGTTCATTTACATTCACCTTGCCATTACCTGGTGCCCTCTGCATATTGGTGATGTGTTTGATTGGGACTCCCATATTGAGGTCCCTGTGAAGGTACAGTCTTTTGGTGCTGGCAGTTCCACTGATTCTGTGCCTCTCGCAATCAATCGTTATATCCAGGATGGAGCTGAATTGGGATCTGATGCACAGGAGGTTAATTGGCCCATGCCTGCTGATGAATGAAGAGTAAGCCATCTGTATGAGCCTTCTGTGGGAGCTTCAGTGATCATGAGAATGTTTCTAACTGCAACACTCACTCTGTGCCCCTGTATTACCTTTTCGGATTTCTCTGCCAGAGTGTAGCAAAGTTGGATAGAGTATTTGTGGATTGGAAGGCAGGACGTTAGAATTTGATGTTTGCAAAACTAGGGGGAAGAGTCCCTTTAAAAGATGATGTGTTTTTTCTAGGCTTGGAGATTTAAAAAGAAGTTTGCAGAAGCAGCAGGTGCTCAGAGAGTTCCTGAAATTGAAATATTTGTATCAGGGGGCTGGGAGGTCAGCAACCCAGGCAGTAGTTTGTTTAGGCAACCAGTCTGAATATCAGCCAATTAATTTAAACCAGGCCCTTGGAGACTGAAAACCAATTAAATTTAAATCTCGTTATTGACAACCTAGGACCAATCTTATTGTAAGAAATTTTTAGGTCATCAAGGGTATAAAGGTAGAGGGTATTTGGAAATCAGTGTGAGAGCAACTGCCATCTACTAGAGTTAACAACCCATCAGCTCTAAAGAGAAAATCACTGGCTGTCACAGAATTCTCTAAGCTCTCAGAAAACCATCATCTAACGAAAAGTATAGCGGCACTCTTAGCTAATATTCCTGACACAAGATTTGATGGAGAGAGGCATTCCTGATACAAGAATTTGACAGAGAAAGATGTTCCTGACTGAGGATCAGCAGAGAGAGCGCAGAGCATTCTGGAAGATGTATCCTGGCTGCAATTTTGAGAGATTAAGTTTTAACTTTTTTTATTATTTTGGTATATAAGTGGGACTTATATTTATTGGAACAGCATACAATTAGAGTTTTGTTTTATTCGGGAATAGTTAGTAGTTAAGGGGGAATTGTTCGGTTTGTTAGTGGTTTTGTTAATTTGTTCACTGTTAGAGTTAGATAAATAAATTGTTACTTGTTGATTATAGAGTGAGTGAAAGGATTTCATTTCAGTTAACTACTCCTTTATAACAGATGGGAGGGTGGTGAGAGGCAGGTTATACAACTTTTCACACTTCTTTTAACAAATTGAGGTGAAATGAGCCTCTGAGTGTTTCGGTTTTAGTTATCGGGGTTGTCGGGGGGGGTTCGACCTCTGCTTCATAACACAGAGGAATGTGCAGTGTTCGTGTTGAGGATTCGGTTCAGAAAAGACTTACCAGGATGCTGCCAGGATTGGAAGGTTTGAGTTATAAGGACAGGCTGCATAGACTGGGACTTTTTCACTGGAGTGCAGTTGGTTGAGGGGTGACCTTCTAGAGGTTTATAAAATCATGAGGGGTATAGATAAGGTGAATGGCAGGTGTCTTTTTCTAGGGTGGGGGATTTCAAGACGGAGGGGCATATTTTCAAGGTGAGGGAAGAAAGATTTAAAAAGGAAGAGGGGCATTTTTTATTTACAGAGTGGTTTGTGTGTGGAATGAACTTCCGGAGGAAGTAGTGGATGCGGGTACAGTTATGATGTTTAAAAGACATTTGGATAAATACATGAATAAGAAATTTTGGATGGATGTGGGTCAAGCACAGGCAGGTTGGACTAGATTAGTTTGGGATTATGGTCGACATGGACTGGTTGGACTGAAGGGTCTGTTTCCATGCCATATGATTCTATAATCCACTGCAAGCAAGCCTGTTTCTTGCAGTGCAGCAACATGTACGTTGAGCCTTCAGTACGCAAGTTCTTTGTCAGTCACAGCAGTCCTCTGTCATCAACCTGCAGCAGGTTGATGGTAAGACCAATACTCATGGCTTCTACTTTGCAGCCTGTGATGTGAAAGACTGGTGTCATCTATGTAGAGTTTATGGTCGGCGCAAAACTGAGCGACCTGCCTGTCGAGAGTTGGTGCTGTAAGCCTGGAGCAGCCATTGAGGTGGGATAGCACCTTACTGGGGCTGAGGCAGGGGTGGCAGCTATCTGATCACCCAAGATCGAAAAGAATGCTGGCGCTCCTGCTGCATGTCATTCAGGTGAGACACCGTTGCTTGTTTGATACCAACTCTGCTGCACAACTTGCCTGAGACAGCTGTCAGATGTGGGACTCTGCTCTGGGGTTTTCTGTCAGGGTTTACTCCCCTTGCCGCTTTCTCTCCTGAAGCATCCGTAAGGCAGAGAGGCCATTTCCCTAGAGCTGGGGTTTCTGCTTTGTGGGCATCAGAGCACAACCTATTGCAGTGGGCCTGCATCTGGGAGCCAGGCCTATTCCGAGTCTTCTTTAGCCTGGCAGTGCGAGGTATGCAGTTTACATGTGTCACCAGGTGGAGGCATTCCATACATTACAGATGGAGAGACTGTGTATTGGCAAGAGAGGCTTAGTACTCAGCTCTGTTTTCACAATAGTTATTTTGATAACCAGCGATGATATCTGAAAGCAAAGAGGTGACCAGCAGACTAGCTTCTACACAACACCCACTGCACTAACACTCAGTGCATCAACTGGATATACACACATTCTCCATTATACTTTATGCATGGCAACCTTACATAACTAATTTGAATTTGTACACTTCTAAAGTGTGATAACATTATTTATTATCCAAGATTCTACTGATTTGAGGAAATACAGAAGTGTTTGGAACAGCATTACTAAACTCTGTATAGTAGCTAATCCTGGATGCTCTCAGTTCATGTCAAGTTATCCCAAGTCATTTTTCCAACACCATCCTAAAACTGACATGGAGTTTTAATTGTGTGCCGAAGTCCTCAAATGGATTTGAACCCAGGTTTGTCTGACTCTCTGAAAATTCCAATCATAGTGCCAAAGCTAATGCCAGTTCAGGGATAAACTTGCAGAGAGTTTGTTTAATGTTGTCTTTGGCTTTGAATGGGATATCCAAAGATAAGCCTCTGTTAAAGTCTTGACCGCCATTAGTATGGTGAATTTAAAGTGTCATTATCTTTAAAAAACATCACAAACTGTGTTGTAAAGATTGGTCATTGAAAGAAGAGAGAAACAGAAAATCCTTTGCTAAAGTCAAAATAAATGAAATTCTTGGTTGTTGCTCATTGCCAACTAACCAGTGACTGATCTTTTTAGGACTATAAGCTTCCACAGTCGGATATTACCAGAGAATTCAGTGTGGATGGACCAAACAAAGCTTAAAAGTCTAGAGATATGTCATCCGCAGGTATGTGAACAGTATAACCATTCAGTACAACCATCTTATGCATATTTAACTCCATTCTTGCTGTGATACGTTAAAACCTTTTTAAAAAGCTACAAATGTCAAGATTTACAAGGACGCTGTCAGGACTGGAGGGTTTCAGCTATAGGGAGAAGCTGAATAAGCTGGAGGTATTTTCCCTGAAGCTTGGGAGGCTGAAGGGTGACCTTATAGAGGTTTATAAAATCATGACTGGCATGGATAGGGTGAATAACCAAGGTCTTTTTCCTGGGATAGAGAAGTTCAAAACTGGAGGGCATAGGTTTAAGTTGAGAGGGGAAAGATTTAAAAAGGACCTGAGGGGTAACTTTTTCACACAGGATCATACATTTATGGGACGAGCTGCCAGAGGAAATGGTGGAGGCTAGTACAATTACAACATTTAAAAAGCATCTGGATGGGTATATGAAAGGGTTTCGAGGGATATGGGCTAAAGGCTGGTAAATGAGACTAGGTCAGATTGGGATGTTTAGTTGGGGCAGATGAGTCAGACCAAAGGGTCTGTTTCAGTGCTGTATGACTATGACAGCGCACCTCTGCGCCATTCAAAACTAGTGAAACTCTGCTAAAGCCTATAATCTGCTGAATCCAGGGAAGCTAGAGGGAGGAATGAGGGAGTAAAAGCAGCATCAGGCCCAGAAACAAACAAATCAACTCCACTTGAGACAAAGAAAGGGACAGTCATCACAGAACCTAGCGAGCTAATGGAAAGGTGGGTGGTGCACTTGCTGGAACTCTAGACAACAGAACAGTGTCGCTGAAGCAGCGCTCGGTGCTATTCGAAATTTTCCTGTGATTGAGGAGCTGGGCAGTGAGACCATCACGTTCAAGCTCAGCAAGGCCAGTGACCAGTTTTTGGGAACTGATGGCATTTGACCTGAAAACAGCCAAGTGGAGAACCAGCACTGGGCCATATCTCCATGAACTTCTCTGTCTCTGTCAGAAGAAAACATTTGTACCTTGGGACTGGCATGATGCAAATATAGTCACCTTGTACACAAACAAAGGAAATAGCAATGACTGCAACATTTACAGAAGCATCTCCTTGTTACATATTGTAGGGAAGGTCTTTACTTGCATTGCTCGGACCAGCTTGCAGACCCTGGCACCTCAGTCCGACTTCAGATTCAGCAGATCAACGGTTGACATGATTTGGTCACTTCTACAGTTACGCAGAATTGCTGCTGTACAGAGATGATGATGTGGAGGTGCTGGTGTTGGACTGGGGTGGACAGGGTCAGAAGTCACATGACACCAGTCCAACAGGTTTACTTGAAATCACAAGCTATCTGAGCACTGCTCCTACGTCAGGTGGAGTGAGGAGAAGCACACTTTTTATACGCATAATTTATAGGCAGAGATATCAAAAGATCATACAAATGGTGTGAGTGGCGTGTCAACAGGCTGAATAATACATCTTTACAGGTGATGAAAAGTGTCAGATGGAGTGAGTAAAATGTCGACAGCTGAATAACAAGTGAATGGATGACCTATAATCTGAATAATTGAGGCAGAGAGATAATTACAAAAAACATTAAAAATAAGGTGGTGCTGGAAACAAACCAAATGGCTGGAATAACATGATAGGTATAAGAGTTGCATGCTGTAACAAGTAATCCAAAACTGTACAAACTAATTAAGGTAGAGAAATCATAAGTTATCAAGGTGATGGTGTCAGAACAGGACAGTAAGGAAGATTTTACGGATACAGAACAGTATGGTGAGTACATATGTAGTGTGACATGAACCGAAGAGCACAGTTGAGGCCACCTTCATGGGTGCTGAACTTGGCTATCGGAGTAGTCCACAGTAAGTCTGATGATGAGATGAAACTTGTTGATATAGTGTGCTGGTTTCAGTGATTCCTTTCCATGAATCCAAGGGAGAAAATGTCGTCGATATATCTGGTGAATAACATTTGTTGGAGGTCCTGTACAGTAAAGTCGTCTCACTCGAATTTGTGCATGAAAATGTTGGTATGTTGGAGTGCAATTTTGGTCCCTTTGACAGTTCTGTGTCTGGTTAAAGAGCTGGTTGTGGAAGGTGATGACGTTGTCGTTGAGGATGAAGCATCTGGAAATTGGCAGTTGTTGGTGTAGAGTGATGAAATGTCCATTGTGATGAGGAATGTTCCTGGTTCGACAGGTCCGTGGGTGATGAGTTTCTCAGAAGTCTGTAGTGTCACAGTAGAAGCTGGGGTTTCCTTGTACAATGGGTTTTAAGATGCCTTTGACATAGCCAGAGGGGTTCTCACACAGGGTCCCTTTGCCCGAGACAATGGGTACCATTGTCTGTTGTGACACTACGGTCTATCAACAAGTTTCATCCTTACCATGGGCTATTCTTCAGTATCAGTCTTCTTCTTGGACACATGCATCTCCAATAAGGACAGACACTTCAGTACCCCAATCTACCGCAAGCCCACAGAAAACCTAACGATGCTGTACTTCTGTAGATTCCACTCTAAACATGTTAAAGAAGCCATCCCTTACGGACAAGCCCTATGTATACACAGGATCTGCTGAGACGAGGAGGAACGTAATGGACACCAAAAGATGCTGAAAGATGTCCTCAAAAGAACAAGATACGATGCTCAATTCATTCCTTTGCCAGTTCTGACATGCCACAGCAAAAAACTACAATGACCTCTTCAGAAGACAGACACAGGACACAACCAGTAGAGTACCCTTTGTTGTCCAGTACTTCTCTGGAGCAGAGAAACTACGCCATGTTCCCCACAGCCTTCAACATGTCATCAATGATGACGAATGTTTCACCAAGGTCATCCCTACGCCTCCAAACAGACCATCGTTTGCAGCAAACTACTCAGTCCTCAGGACAACATAAACCACAACACCAGAGAACCCTGCCATGGCAATCTCATAGAATCATAGAATCCCTACAGTGTGGAAACAGGCCCTTCAGCCCAACAAGTCCACACCGAACCTCGGAGCATCCCACCCAGACCCATCCCCCTATGACCCACCTAATATACACCCTCTACCTCCCTGAACACTACAGGCAATTTAGCATGGCCAATCCACCTAACCTGCACATCTTTGGACTGTGGGAGGAAACCCACACAGACACGGGGAGAATGTGCAAACTCCACACAGACGGTCGCCCGAGGCTGGAATCGAACCCGGGTCCCTGGCGCTGTGAGGCAGCAGTGCTAACCACTGTGCCACCGTGCCGCCCCTCTCTGCCGCCCCCATCTCTGCAAGACATGCCAGATCATCGTCATGGATACTACCATCACACATGGGAACACCATGCAGTACGTCCACGGTAGATACTCATGTGACTTGGCCAATGCTGTCTACCTCATACGCTGCAGGCAAGGATGCCTGAGGCATGGTGTATTGGCAAGACCATGCAAATGCTGCAGCAACGAACACCGTGCGACAATCACCAGACAGGGATGTTCCCTCCCAGTGGGGGAACACTTCAGCCTCCAGTCTTCAATTAAGCGTCCTCCAAGGCAGCCTTCGAGATACATAACATAGAATCGCTGAGCGGAAGCTGATAGCCAAGTTTCATATCCATGAGGTTTGCCTCAACTGTGATCTTGGGTTCATGTCGTGCTACATGTGACCTCATCATACTGTTCTGTGTCTATGAAATCTTCCTTACTGCCCTGTTTTGACACTATCACCTTGATAACTTGTTATGATCGTGTATGCTTCAAGAAGGTCTCCTCTCATTCTTCTAAACTCCAGCGAGTACAGGCCCAACCTACCCAATCTCTCCCCATGAGACAGTCCCTCCATATCTTTCCATAGATACAGGACTCAAAACTGTTCACGTATTCCAGCTGTGGTCTGACTAGCACTTTGTATAATTTTAGTGAAACTCCTACTTTTATACTCCATTCCCTTTTGAAACAAGGGCAGACATCCCATTTGGCTTCCCTATTACCTGCTGAACTTGGATGCTAGTTTATTTGATTCATGGATGAGGGCTGCCAAATCCCTCTGTTCTGTAATTTTCTGTACTCTTACTCTATTTAAACAATATTCAGCTTCTAATGTTTTGAGGCATGGATTCGAGTCCCACCATGGCAGTTGGTTAAATTTGAATTCAATAAAAAGATTATGCCTTAAAAGCTATTTTAATGGAGTCTGTGCAAGCCCTGTTGGTTCTCCTAAAAACCCATCTGGTTCATTAATATCCTTTAGGGAAGGAAATCTGCTGTCCTTTACCTGGTCTGGCTACATGTAGACTCCAGATCCATGATTATGTGGTTGATTCTCAATTGCCTGTAGAATGCTGAAGTGGCTTCATAACATAACTCAGTCCCAGGGCATTTAGGGTATTAGGTGCCAGTGATATTCACATCCCTGAACGAATAATAAAAAAATGAAAATGCCATTAAGGGGATTCTGGAAACAAAGTGTTTTTAACTAGTTTTGGCAGAGCAATGAGTAATCTTTGTCATATTAACCACAACGTAAAGGATCTCTGGCAGTTTAGTTTTGGTCTGATGCATCCAGTTGTTCTCTGATTGATTGTGATCACCATGGATCAGATACAACACAGAGGGGCTCCGGTGTGATTATCTGGGGTCTGGTGCAGATGCTGAACATTAACTAGTTAGTACAGATCCTGAATATAGTTGAAAAGTTGGAAATGTTGCTGGAAAGTTTCATCTTGCATACATTGGGACAAATGCAAAAATGCCAAATTTCTGAGATAGCTACGATTTATACTGTAAAAATAAGGTTGCCGAATGGTTGACAAGTTAACGCTGATTTTTTAAAGCTTGACCGTAGAGAATGTGTTAGAGAACTAATGCTTTTATGTTTCTCCACATTGATTGTCTGACAAGAAGAGCATTCTGACTTAAAGAAGATGTAATTAATTGCATTTTGCAACAAAACACAAATTATGTTAATACGATAGACATTATACCAAAACATTGAATGTATTCTAGAGGCAACCAGATATAGCACATGGGGTGAATGGTACCAAAGGTTATGGAGAGAAAGCAGGATTAGGCTATTGAGTTGGATGATCAGCCATGATCATGAAGAATGGCGGAGCACGCTGAAAGGGCCGAATGGCCTCCTCCAGCTCCTATCTTCCATGTTTCTATATTATTACAGAGACTGAGGAGGACCTGGATGTTGGGTCTTATTCCTTCAAAATCCTAAGCTGTTCTCCTCAAATCCATATTGCTTAATAATAGGTGACGCTTAAGGCAATCTTAAGTATTCACTTTTATCAGATCCTTGCACCCTTGTACTTCATAACTGAAATTCCTCATCCCTGCAACCTTCTCAGGAATCTTTATTGTTCTCTCCAGTGTCTTCATATCCTTCCTAAAGTGTGGGGTCCTGAACTGGATGTGACATTGTAGTTGAGGCCAAACTAGTGTCTTGCACAGCTTCAAGATAGCCTCCTTGCTCTTGCAATCCAGGCCCTGTTAATGGAACCTAGAATATTCATGATTAACTGCTCTTTCAATCTGTTCCACTGCCTTGTACTCCAACTCCCTCTGATCCTACACTTTCTTTCGTATTGTCCCTGCTGTCTTATATTGTTTCTCCATGTCCTTCATACCAAAATGATTCACTTCACATTTCTCTGCATTGAGCCTCATCTGTCGCCTGTCCATCCATTCAGCCAACTTGTCAATGTCCTTTTGACATTTGGCGCTGTAGTCTTCACAGTTCACAATGCTTCTAAGTTTCATAGCATGCGCAGACTTTGAAATTGCACCAAGATCTAGGACAGGCTTGTCCAACAGGCGGATCACGCCACCGAGGGATTCCTATCCAGCCCTCCACATGTGTTCCAAATACAGGAGGTACAGGATTGTGCAAGGAGCTACTATACTGAGAGGCTCAAATCATCTTTCTTCCTGCACAGGTGCTGGCCCTCTGAAGAACTGCAGTCAAATAGCCAAGCGGGATACCAAGGCTGGAGAACTGTGATTGAGGGTGGGAAAGTGAGGGAGATAGGAAGCAGGGTTTGTGTGTGTGCATCAGTCTGAGTTCTCCCCACAATGAACACCACCACCACCACCCTCCCTAAAAACCTATCCATAATGCAGACGGGAGAGGAGAAAAACTTGGGCTGAATAGCAACTCGCTACTGATACCCACTTTTGTTTGAATTCCACAGAGGTCAGCTTGGAAAGTCCACCACCAGAAGTGCATACAAGGTCAATTTAGTTAAATCCAACATCTTAGCTTGATTCTAATCTCCAGTCCTCTTCCCTGGTGATCAGGATTTGGGTCCTGGTTTCTCTTTTGCTTGCTCTCACTGTTAACTCTGCTGTTTAGTGCTTTTTAATGTGATTTTTATTCATTTCTCTCTTATTTAAATTAACTAGTTTTTTGCTTGGGAATTGATTTTTGTTCTGAAATTAATGTTTACAGTTGTGCCAAAGTTTTATCATTCTGAAATTTGCACACTGACTCCCCCCAAATGAGAAAAAAAAATTGACATTTTGACCCATGTGAAGAGGTTGGACAATTCTGATAGCAGCCATTAGTATCATCAAGAAAAGCAAGTCCCAACAGTGAGCTCTGAGGAACTACTCTACTCCAGCCTGAAAAACATCCATTACTATTACTCTCCATTTCCTATCACTCAGCCAATTCCTTGTCCCTTTTATTGCATTAGCTCCAACTTTGCTCACAAATCTGTTGTGCAGCACTGTATCAAACACTGTTTCAAAATCCATGTACACCATATTAACATTCTGTTACCACTTCAAAAAATTCCAAGATTGTTAAACACAATTTTTCCTCAGCTATTCTGTTTGCACTTTCTGGAATTGACCTGCATTTGACCCTGCAGCTATTAATTTTCAGATGCTGGAAATTCTGCGGTGAGTAACTCACTGCTTGTTGACAGTCTACGAGTTACAGGGTGAGACTGTGATGGAAATATGTCTTGTCTGGATGAATGCAGCTCCAACAACACTCAGGAAACAACACTTGTTCTATTAGAATTCTACTTTTAAACCAGATTTTATCAGTGAATCACTCCAGATAGTGAGACATACATATGATTATGGAATCGTTGGTGAAGCCCAATCAGATGGTACAGTGCAAAATCCAAAAATTTAGCCTCTCATTCCTTACTAATGTCCTCAGAGATAACGGAGTAACTGCAGCTGGCACCATTAAGCTGTAAATGATCTCACAATTGCTACATCAGAGACCATTGACAGCAACAAACAAAGTAGTTCTGCCTCTGCTGAAAGGTTTTTTAACTTGTAAAAATGGATTAAGGAAAATAAGGTAAATTAGAGTTTGTGGGATATAGTTGTCACTAGAAAAGCTGAGGTTTATTCCCCATCCACAATTGCCCTTGAGAGGCTAACGATAAGCTGCTTTGAGCCAGTACATTCTATATTGTGTTGATGCAGTCACAACGCTGTTAGATGGGAGTGCCAGGATTTTGACCCGGTGACATTGAAGGAACAGCAATATGTTTCCAAGTCAGGATGGTATGTGCTTGGTGGGAAACTTGCAGGTGGTGGTGTTTCCGTATATCTGCCGTCTTTGTCCTTCTAGGTGGTAGAGGTTGGTGGTTTGGAAGGTATTGTCTAAGGAGCCTTGGTGAAGTTCTGCAGTACACCTAGTCACTGGTACACACTGCTGCTACTGAGCATCAGTGATGGAGGGAGTGAATATGGATGCAGTGATCATCAAGCGGGCTGCTTTATCCTGGATGGTGTCAAGCGTCTTGAGTGTTGTTGGAGCTGCACCCATCCAGGCAACTTGGGTGTATTCCATCGTGGCCTTGTGACTATGAACAGGCTTTGAGGAGTCAGGAGGTGAGTTACTCGCTGCAGGATACCCAGCTTTTGATCTGCTTTGTCGTCCCAGTATTTACATGATATTTATCTCTTTGAGATACAGGTTCATGTCTTGACTTTTCATTTCATTGGGAATGAAAATGGAAACTGATACTTTAGCCTTCTGACATGAAATTACTTGACAGATAAAATCTAAGATCTAGAATTAACCAGTTGCTGCAGAAAGCGATCTTCCGTCGAAATCTTTCACCTTGCACTCTTCAGGACAAATGCACTAATGCCAAGTTTCAAAGTGAGCACAATTTATGCTACATGAGAAAAAAAGTCTGGGTGCTTGACTAATCTTTACCCTGTAATTATATGAAGCATTAATATGGCGAGTGCAGCAAGAAGCTAATGTTCTCTGTGCTTTAGCTTAGTTTTAAAAACAAAAATGCAATGCCTGGAGATGTGCTTTATGGCTGCAGGTGACAGGTCCCTGTGTTTGAACATGTATCGTTACAAGGCAACATTAGCATGTTTCAAATCCGAGTACAGTCAATAATTTTAAGTTGGTTGTTAATGTAATTTGAGCACACTTGGGATTATTCAGCAAGTGTCATTGAGATCTACGGTACCGGGGGGGGGAAAAAAAAAGCCAATCAGCCCATCGCAACCCCATGAGTCAAATATAACCACATAACTATTTTAATCTCATTTTCCAGCACTTGGCTCCATACCCTTGTAATGCCTTGGCATCACAAGTGCATTTCTAAATACTTCTTAAACGTTATGAGTTTTGGCCTCCACTACCCATATAGGGAGTGAGCTCCAGATTCCCAACACCTCTGGGTGAAAAAGTTTTTTTCCTCCTATCTCATCTAAACCTTCTGACCCCTACCTTAAATTTATTTCTCCAGTAAATGATGCCGCCACCAGGGGGAAACGTTTCTTCCTGTCTATCCTATCTAGCTAATTTTATACATCTCATTCAATCCCCTCTCAATCTCCTCTTCTCTAAGGAAAACAGACTCCAGTCTGACAAGTCTCCCTTCGTAACTGAAACTC